CTCAAACAAGTATGTTAAAAAAAAAAAAAAAAGAATAAAGGTCGAAATCAGTGATACAAATTTTCTTCTAAAAAAATCAGAAAAGTACCAGGAAATTAAACACAAAGGAATTAGGGAGGACACTATTCAGGCACTAAAATAAATACAAGAGCAGATTCACAAAACAGAAAAACAACTTTAAAAACAAAAACAAAAGCTGCCTCTTTGAAAATACAAGCCCAAATGCTGTCTCTTCAAAGTGGCCCCCTACCCACTCTGGAGAAAACAGACCTCTCTTCCCTACCACTGAGGTTCATCCTCTTCCCTTACTGTCTTCATGGTTCTTATCAGGATCTGAAGTTACTTTGTAGTTATTTTGCCATCCAGTCGGCCTCGACTCATAGCAACCCCTCCTCGGGTTTCCGAGGCGGTATCACTACGGAAGTAGATTGCCCAACCTTCCTTCTGAGGAGTGGCTGGTGGGTTTGAACCGCCAGCCTTCTGGTTAGCACTCAAGTGCCTTAGGCACTATGCTACCAGAGCTCCTAAGTTACTTTAGTATAAGCATAACTCATTTTATTGTATTTCACAGATAGTGCATTTTTCACTAATTGAAGGTTTGTGGCAACCCTTACTCAAGCAAGTCTATCTGTGCCATTTTTCCAACAGCATGTGATCACTTCATGTCTCTGTGTCACATTTTCATAATTCTCACAATATTCCAAACTTTTTCATAATGCTATTGCACACTTTACAGACCATAGTATAAATGTAACTTTTATATGCGTTGGGAAACCAAAAAATGTGTGACTCACTTTACAGCGATACTCGTTCTATGGAGGTGGTCTGAAACCAAACCTGCAGTATCTGAGGTATTCCTGTAATATGTTTGAATGTTTATAGTCTCCCTCCCTTTCTAGAAGATCGCTCCTTGAGGGCAGGGATTCTGTAATCTCATTCACCACTGTATTTCTAATGCTTAACAAACAATGCCTACTAACTAATAGATGATAAATGTCTGTTGAATTTTTAAAAAAATTAACTTGGTGTAGTGGTTAAGTTTGTGTGTAACTTAGCTAGGCCTGGTTGAGTGGCTGGGCAGCTGGACGTAGTATTCCCCATGATGAGACTGGTAATCAACTCCATGGTGGAATCTACTGTGAGCAGCTGAGTACCTGTCTTTGGGTATATAGTCTGCTTCCTGTACATAAGAAACAGCTTTGGGAATGGTCTCTAGCCTATGGCACGCTTGAATCCTGCATGTAGCCATGTTGTGGTTCAGCAGTCTGCCATGCCCTGCCGACCTTGGGACTTAGAATGGACTTGAATTAATGGCCTGCCATGTGGTTTGGTAACATTGGGACTATGCCATTTCATTTGTCGACCTTGGGCTTGTTAGCCTCAGCAGCCAGCTGCCTGAGTGAAGAGATGCCTCTAGCTTCAGTGGGCCAGGAGCAAGAGGCAGAGCTGAAGCCCAAGGTCAAGGGGCTTTCATACAGCCTCTAGGGCCTGGCACTTTGAACTCAGACTTCTAGTCTTCTGAACTGTGAGAGAATAAGCTTCTGTTTGTACAAGCCATCCCATTTGTGGTATATTTCTGTTAGAGTGGCACTAGGTAACCAGAACACTTGGTTTTTTAAAAAACTGTCACTAGAGAAAAATGTAGGAGTAAATATCCACTGAGGCATATCAGATCTTATTCAATAGGTTTATTTATCATCTGTAATCATAGATCAATGCCCAGACTCTAGAAATGTCATGAAAGTCAATATATTTGCCAATAGGCCTAGAGAAGTCAAAAACACATGGGAACCAAAATATGATGCACCTTCAAAATAGTCATGGGAGCTAGTTTTTTTTTTTGGGGGGGGGGGTCTCATCATAGTTGTTCCTTGGGAAGAAATTAATGTTCATAACATTAATACTAAAGAGTATTGTTGTTGTTGTTGTTGTTTGCCATCGAGTCGGACCAAACTCATAGCGACCCCACCTTGAGTTTCCGAGGCAGTATCATTATGGAAGTAGAATGCCCAATCTTCCTTCCGAAAGAGTATTAGAAGATTTTTAATTAAATGCCTCTTTAAAAATGAGATCTAAGAGCAAAGGGACTACCCCATCTGACTAAAGCATGAAACAACCTAAGATAAAAAGAAAAGAAACAGCCAACCTTCTGCTCAGCTCTCAAAGGGAAAGGACACAATCTGCAAATCATTTTTAAAAGATACCATGGCTGTACAGGACTTTTCAACATCAGTACTACTAAAGTTTTAGCTGGAAAATTCTTTGTTGTAGGAGGCTGCCCAAAGTGCACTGTACAGTACTTGGTAGCATTCCTGGTGTCTACCCACTAGACAGCAGCAGCACCTCCCCAACTGCAACTGTCAAAAATTCCTGAAGGTCTCCTGGGAAGCAAAATCACTCTTAACTGACAATCACTGGGTCTAGGAGAATGAATACAAAAAAATAGTAGAGAAACTAAATCATATGTAAACACAACTACACATCTTTTCAACCCATCTGATGTTCTAGCTGTGTGCTGCAGATAAATTTAATTTTGGCCCTGCTCAGCAAGATGGAAGCATTTTTGCAATCACAGGCAGGAATTACTGAGTTCTTGGCAAATCAGCCACAAGGCAGGACTTCTGAGCTAACAGTAGAAAGAACAAAGACTAAGGTTGGTACCTTGAAGAATTCTAGTTTAATTTCTGAATAACAGGTAAAGGGGTATGAGAAAATACCTACAAAGTCTTACAGACAAGGTAAAGTCTAGAAGTATCTCACAAACTCAAAATTAAAAAAAAAAATCCAAATTAAAGTCAAAGACACTGATGAAAACCATGTTTCAATCTTCACAATATGGCTGTCCTATGTCCTCTTACTTTTTCTGCTCACAATGTAAATTATAATCAAGCAATGGAAAAGACTGCTTCAATTGGCTATAATAAAATGACAGAATTCTTTACACCATAAACAAAGTTAAAAGACAGACTAGATGTTATTTACAATATAAATAACAAAGGATTAGTATATCTAGAATATAACAAGGAACACTTATGAAAAACTTCATTGCTACCTCAAATAGCCAAAACCAACATCACTACTCAGAAATTCGAGTTAATTCTTGAAGGAGCACCCTATCTCCCATTATCCAACTTCATTATTCCATCAGCCATGAGAAAAGATCTACTAAGCATGTCTTTGTGTCTGCTGAATCACATACCATTATCTGAATCCTCCCATTCCTGCCATCCACCAGAATTCCAGAAGCAATACCACACTTAGCCATTACTGCACATCAAGGAAGGAAAACCCATTGCCTACGGAGCAGAAGGTGGAGAAAGAGTTGGGTCTTACCTAGGAACAGCTGCAGCTCATCCAAGAGCAACTACTGCTTGTGGAACCTGGCAACCTGCAGCCAGCTTCCTGGGGGCAGAGCCCTTCCTCTCAGGCTCTGCAAAAGAACTCAAGTGACAATGGCTGGACACTCTTTTCTCAGGAGCACCTTTTCCAATTTTACCTCCAAGGGTCTCTCATCTCTCTAGTAAAGATCTTTTAAAATGGAATTGACTAGAGATCCGAATGGGAAGACAGAAATAATGGAATGTTTTCTTGCTTATTTCCCTCAGTATTAGTGATCCAAACATAAGAGAAATAAAAATCAAAGACACAAGCAAATTATTCTTGGAAACTTCAGAATCACAAAAGGGTAGTACTTCTCCTACCTGCCATTCAGCACTACAGGGAATACAATCATTCCAGCCGCCACAACTATCTGAAGTTACATAACCAGGGAGAGGTGTTAGAGGAGCTGGTACAAGGGCCATGTCAATTCATACTGAGTTCCCTGTTTGAGGCTACAACTGGCAGCCTGTCCTGAGAAGGCCCAGAAAGTAATCTCCTGGCATCTCCAGTGAGCCTGGAAGCTGAGAGTTAGAGGGGCAGAAAAGACTCCTAGACAGTATAAAGGAGGGCAAATTGATTCTTGAGCCTGTGACAGTTATTAGGATAAATGAGAACTGAAGATAGTAACATCAGCGAGGAAAGAGGATCAATGCTCCCTTTCCTGGAATCTGGAGGCTATCAGAAGTATATTTTCCTAAGCCCCTTCAAATCCAAGTACATAATGGTGATCTAATGCAATGGTCAATTGCACTAGGGTAGACTGTTATAAACAGACAAAAACTCTATCCTCAGCCAGTAGGAAGTTTAGAAACAACTAAATTCCATGTCATGAAAGACTGAAATTAACTGAAAAGCCCTGTGGTCACTCAGCAGGTTGGGCGCAAAGGAGTAAGCAAACCCAGCAAACCAAACAGAAGAAGTCCAGAGGGCTCTGCCAGAGCAGTTTATAGTCACTGAAGAGGCCAAGAAGGAGGGCAGCACTGCAGGAGGTACAGTAAACTTCCTGGGGTTATGAACCTCTCTGCAAATCTTTCCCTAGAAAGTTCTCTTATGTATACACAGAATTGTGAGTGTCACTTCAGGAAGCTCACAAGACCCCTCATGATTATTCCCATGTTCACCTATGGCCATCTGAAGGGTTCACAACTCCCAGACGCAAAATCTCACCACAGGTTGACTTTTCCATATCCCTGGTCAAGTATTTTCCACATGCAAATCTCTGTACATCTGTCAAATATGAGTTGAGCGCTAAAGGTCTGGTGGCATAGTGCCTAAGGCATCTGACTGCTAACCAGAAAGCTGGCAGTTCAAACCCACCAGCCACTCCTCAGAAGGAAGATTGGGCACTCTACTTCTGTAGTGATATCGCCTCAGAAGCCCAAGGAGGGGTCGCTGAGTTGGATCCAGCTCGACGACAGTGAGTTTGTGTTTTTTTGGTATATGGAAGAACAATTCATTCCTGAGAATGAGCACATGAGTTCTTTGTGGATGTGTTTACCCATCTGCGCCTTCTCACTATGGATGGCCTAAAAAATCCAACTGGAAACACCATGCTCTCCCAGCAAAAATACAATTAGAAGAAAAAACAAGGCAGTCTGTCACACACTAGAGCCACTCACCATCCAGCAAGTCTTCCTCGTCATCCCTGTCGTGCTCCTCCAATGCCACCTCCTCCTCCTCCTCCTCCTCTTCCGCATCCTCCAGCTCCACGTCCGGGTCCAGGTCTGGATCGCTCCCTGAGGCGGATTCGTCTGACATGGCTCCCAGAGGTCCTCAGTGGGCATTACCGACTCATGGTCCACTGTAGGGGTCCTGAGGGGAGGGCATGAGACATCAGAATCACCAAGGGGTCACTTAAGAATGTAAATCTTTCAAAGAGAAAATGCCAAAGCTGAATTCCCTAGAGCTTTCCTAAGCAAGGCAAGATAACCTTATCCAAACTGCAAACTTCCCCACAAATACCCCAGCCCTGGCAAAAATTTTGGCAATTCTCTCCCCAACCCAAGCTTTTCTCAGCTATTTGGACAAGAAAATAAGTTAGAGTGACCAAAGAACAACAATGAAACTATACACCCCAGAGTTCCCATTTATTCATTTCTTCAACCATTGACAGTTTCCTGAATACCAACTCTCTATAGCTACATCTACCTATACATATGCATATATATGTATATGGGAGCTCTGGTAGCATAGTGCCTAAGGCACTTGACTGCTAACCAGAAGGCTGGCGGTTCAAACCCACCAGCCACTCCCCAGAAGGAAGGTTAGGCAATCTACTTCCGTAGTGGTACTGCCTCGGAAACCCAAGGAGGGGTCGCTATGAGTCAGGTCGGACTCAACGGCACATAACAACAACATATGTGTATATATAACTGTCGGTGCTATTCTAGGCTTTGGGAACAGAGTAGGAAGCAGTGCTGGGGGCGCTGGGAGGTGCCAGGAGAGGCTTGTATTTTCTGTAAGGGTCAGAGGGTTTCTCACTGAGCAGAGGCCAGAAAGAAGTGAGGGAGTCCCACAGACATCTGGAGGCAGGGTTCCATGCAGAGCCCTGCAGTGGAAGTGACTAGGAGTGCTCAGGGAACAGTGAGCAGGTTCTGCCTGGAGTACTTCAAGGACAGTCCACTCTCCAATCACCTGAATGAAGGGCTTTCAGTGGGCAGCTGATAATTCAACACACTGTCACCTCTCTCAAGCATGCAGGGAAGCTGGCCTCAGGCTTGCCCCAGTTTGGAATGCCCCTGGGGGCACCTCTACTCTCTGGCACTGCCCTACCTCTTGGCCCAATTCCAGCCCATCTCTTCCAAAAAGCCTCTGCCAATTGTCCCAGCCATCTGGGATCATACTTCTTTGTGCTGACCCTGCTGACCACACTATCAACTTTCACTGAAGGCTTCACATGGGCTACTGGCCAAGTGGTTTGCCTTCTATGGTCTCACCTCCTGACCCAACAGTAAGGCTCCAGGAGCAGGGATTGTGTCTTCGCATCACTTTACTAGTACCTACTACCAAGGTCATTTCTTTTGGGGGGTTATAAAAAGATGGATAGCTGCAGATTCACTGATCAATTCTTCCAGTTTTTCTGTATGTCTCAAAGTTTTTATATTAAAATGTTGGGTGGGAGGCAGGGGCAAGGTAAATAATCTTTTACAAGACCAATAGTCAACAATAGCAATAATCAAGTCATTCTCAAATTCCACCCATCTTCCAAAATAAAAGTTGAATGAAGCACCAGTCTCTAATTATTCAACACAAAAAGTATTCTAAAACTGTAATTGCTTATTAAGTTCCAGACATAATTTGAAACATCTTCTGTATTCTCCTAAACAGAAACAAACAAACAAAACATGAAGCAAACTAGAACATTTAGCATTCTGAAAAACCAGAACTTAAGTTTAGGACTGCTCAGAATTAAAAATAACAATTACGAGTGTGTGTGTTCAGCTGGATCACATATTTATCCTCTCTAGAAAAGTCACAAAGAACAACTATGAAATGACGTAATAATAAAATTAAAATTTTTGCATTGTAACACTTCCAAAAGCATCTGCAAAAGGCATTGAGACATAGGGAAGCAACTCCAAAACCAAACTCACTGCCAATGAGCCGATTCCGACTCATAGCGATCACCACTGGGTTTCCAAGGTGGTAAATCTTTATGGAAGTAGACTGACTGCTCCATCCTCCTATGGAGCAGCTGATGGGTTTGAACTGCCAACCTTCTGATTAGCAGTCAAACACCTTAGGCACTGCACCATCAGAGCTCCTAGGGGAGAAAGGTAATCCAAAAATACAAATCAATAAATCTACTCCTCACTTACTGACATGGTTAGGTTCCAAAGACCAGGTCATTATGAAAAAATCAGCATTATACAAAAATGGAGGATGACCACATCAGATCATAAAACAGAGCATGACTAAATCATTATATTACTGCCAAATTATATCATTGCATAACTGCCAAACTACTGAGAATCATGGCCCAGCCAAGCTGACACACAACCATCACAGCCAGCGTTACTCTGACCTTGCATGTCAGCATTTGTTACTGCCAGACTTAAGTCATTAATGTGAAAAATAGTCAGATAGTAAATTAATTACTATTATCATAAATGTGAAAAGTCAGATTACGAGATAGTCAATAAGTGAGGAATAGGGGTATTGCTGGGAGCTCTGGTAGCACGGTGCCTAAGGCACTTGACTGCTAACCAGAAGTTTGGCGGTTCAAACCCACCAGCCACTCCTTGGAAGGAAGATGCGGCAATCTACTTCCGTAGTGATACTGCCTCGGAAACCCAAGGAGGGGTCACTATGAGTCAGGTCCAACTTGACGGCACATAACAACAACAACAACAAGGGTATTGCTAATACTGGGCTACAATTCACTTAATGCCAAGACAGATTCTAAATCTTTGTAAAGATGATTATCTTGTATCTTTGGTTCACTAAGTAGATTTTAGGAAGAAAGTAATAAATCAATTAGATATCACAGCTTTGGAGGTAGAATTTATTTCTGAATATTAGTATGATGATAATTCATCAGCAACTGTTCTGGTTTAGAAGTCAGTCTTCATAACTGGTCCTGCCACTCTGTTTGCTCAAAAATTACTTGAGATAAGGATGTTTTGCATGCAGTGGTCTTAGCTGATTATGGAGTGGCTTTTACAGAAAATTTTTAATAAGCAAGTACCTTTAAGTAATCTGAATGCTTGTCATTCTAGAGAAGAAATTGCACGGTAGTGGATGAATGACAGTCACCTAGATATAAGCATTAGCAAGGAAAAGCCTTCTATACACTCCCCAGTTAACAAACATCTTGAAATCAACTTCAGCCCCAATCTCCTGATAGGTAGAAGTAAACATCTATTAAACATGTGACAGCCATATATACCATTAGAATATGAGACACACTGGTCCAGCTTCCCACTCAAAACATTTTAAAAAATAGAGGGCACTGTAAAATAGTACCAAGGCTGTGCGATGCCCCTAACAGATGGGACTAGAAAGTGATGGACCTCATAAAGTGTCATCAAATTTGGTTTTCTCTTTCTCTCTCTTCTACAAGTCACTACATTTCTCAAAGAGAGAACACAACAAATGCTCAGCTCCTTAGAACCAAACCAACTACTTAAGGCATAAGTTTTGCTGTTGGTATTCTTCAAAACAGCAACAAAGAGAAATGGCAGGGGAGAGCTCTGGTAAATTATATTCTGTCTTTAAGAGACTACACACATACATACACAGAGAGAGAGAGACAGACAGACAATCCATGTGGGCAGCTTTTCAGACACAGGAAAGTCAGCCTTGTCAAAAACTGAGCTCTTAGAAATGTTACACAGAAATGAGAGAAAAGGTTGATAAAGAAAAAAACACATCTTCTACATATGTTCCTCATTCCACATGAAACACTGCCTCAAATGCTAGTAAAGAGGGGCTCTGCCCCTACTACACAGAGAAACTTGGAGAGTAATTATGGATGTGCCACACTTTAATGAGGACTTAATTTCTTAAGAAGCAGATTCTGAGAATCAAATTCTATTTTAATGAACCTAAAGAACTAGCTATTTAAAGGAACTCTAAGGAGAACCACTCTAAAAAAACTAAGGCATTTGACTGTTAACCAGAAGGCTGGTGGATTCAAACCCACCAGCCACTCCTTGGAAGGAAGGTTGGGCAATCTCCTTCCATAGTGATACCGCCTTGGAAACCCAAGGAGGTGTCGCTATGAGTGGGATCTAACTCAATGGCAGTGAGTTTTGAGTAAGTAAGATGTTAGTAAGTCTACTGTTTAATATAGGAGCTCTGGTAGCATAGTGCCTAAAGGCACTTGACTGCTAACCAGAAGGCTAGCGGTTCAAACCCACCAGCCAGGTGGGACTGTAAAATGGTACAACCATTGTGGAAAGCAGTATGGCGATTCCTTCAAAAGTTGGAAATACAAATACCATTTGACCCAGCCATCCCATTACTAGGTATATACCCTAAAGAAGTGAGAGCCATAACAAGAACAGATATATGCACGCCGATGTTCATCGCAGCACTATTTACAACAGCCAAAACTTGGAAACAACCTAGACGTCCAACAACTGAGGAATGGATAACCAAACTTTGATACATTCACACAATGGAATACTATGCAACGCTAAAGAATAATGTAGAATCTGCAAAACACCGCATAACGTGGATGAACTTGGAGGACATTATGCTGAGTGAAATAAGTCAGTCACAAAAGGACAAATATTGTATTAGTCCGTTATTGTAAAAGTTAAGGAAAGGTTTATATATTGGAGGACATTTTCTTTGTTGGTTACCAGGGGTGGGAGGGGAGGGGAGGGAATGCTGTTAGATAGAGATAAATATTGATTTGGGTGAAGAGAAGGGCAATGTACCAAATGTGAGTGACCAATATGGCAGCATTGAGGATGAGAAAGACATAGAGAGTTACATGGGCAGTACAGACAACAAATATGAACCCTTTTGCATATACAGTACTGGGTTGTCAGTGAAAGCAAAGATGGGTATAGGGACGGATGGATGGGTGAACAAGCTGAACAATTAGGTATGTCTAAATGGAGAGTGTATCCAAGATCATATATAGGGTTGGCAGACAATGGGCCTATAAGTTCATGTGAATGATCAGAATTCCCGGGTGTATAGTAGAGCTGACAAGGGGCAAGGTTATGGTCATTGCTTGGTCACAGCCAGCTGCCCAGAGGGACCGAGTGGTTGATCCTGTGGGCTTGGGACCATAGTCGCAGGGGACATCAAGCTCAATTGGCATAACATGCTATACAAAACATTGTTCCACCTACTACTT